AGGTGGTAGAGAGGGCGTAGGGGGGAGGGGTGTAGGGATGGTACACTGTAGAGACAGAGAGGGTGTAGGGGGGGAGGGGGGAGGGGTGTAGGGATGTGCAAAATAGACCAGCAGCTGAGCCAGACTCTGATGGGTCTGACCCCATGTCAGAAATTGATTCTGATTCATCAGGAGGTTCAGATGACAGTCACACTGACATTGAATGATTGAAGGACAGTTTTGATTGACATCTTAATGACATGAGTTCTGCTACTTAATAAAGATACTGCCAGAGAATTTGAAAGCTTTTTAATATTTGGAAACTTATTTAACTCAGTCAGGGTTTTGTTCTTTCTTTGTTGTTGTCATAATCTATTTATGTTATTGCGATTATTTGCCATAGTAGCGTATAGTAACGCTGAAGGGGTCGTTGTCGTATCAGGTACTACAGATATGTACCCGAGGTATACAAAGTGTACCAGACTTGTACTACAGAAGTGTACCCTAACCCCAACCCTAACCCTAGTCCTAACCCTAAACATACCTTATATAAAAATATAAACATAATACTAAACAACCTAAAACTACCTCGGGTACATATCTGTAGGACCTGATACGACAACGTATACCATCTGCTATATAGTAACACATAGTAACAAATAGTAACATGTGGCATTTCATTGATGGGGCAAAGCAACCCGAGAAGAAAAGTAAATTAAATGAAAATAAAAACACAAAGGATTACGAATAAACCAGAAAACGTAGTTTTAATGAAAAATGGACAGTTGGGAGGCCGTGGTCTCTGTTTCTGTTGTAATACGTTGCAGTATCCAAATTTGGCATAGAGGCAATGGGCTATAGCTAGCCATGGGGTGTGACCTAGCTTGGGTAAAGCCAGGTAGTTTAGCCTTTTAGTTTTAGCCGAAAGGCACTGAAGGTGGTCACAGCCAGAGTTTTTCTGCGCCCTCAGTGGTTCTTTTACGTCCCCATTGGCCTTAGTATTACTGGAGACGGGACCGCCATTTTACGTGGTCATCCGAGCCAGTTTCCAATGTTGAAAGCTAGGTTTCTACACCTTGAGAAAATTCACTGCCCCTGCCGGGGTTTGAACTCGCAGCATTCAGTGGACAGTGTACGAGAAACAAAACACAACAGATGGAATGAAGTGTGCTTGGTGTGTGAAGCACATCAGCACCTAGCCACAAGTTCCCTTCTCGCTTAACACTACGTTGGTAACAGTCGGAGAGCCTAGTCGGTT